CGATGTTTGGTTATATCAACCATTTTATCTGAAATAGGAATAAAATAGTTTGTGTTTTTTTGAATATAAGAAAATTGATATGTCTTGTTCAGATTTTATTTTTGCAAATAGACTAGAATAATAATGGAATTATTTTAGCTTTATTAACAATTCAAAAAAAGATTAAGTTAATAAACATCACAATAAAAAGGTAATGCTAAGATTCTATAAAAATATTGATTTAGTAAATTTTTGTATATAACTGATTTATTTCTTTTCAGTTATGTAAATCTGATCAAAAAATAAAGCCTATGTTTTTTATTTCTCAATCTATAAATTATATTTCACATAAGCCAACCTCCTTCAAAACAATAGAACAACTTCGAGAAAAAAATTTATGTTTCAATATTCGACACTATTCCAGAGTTATCAAGTATAGAAAATAACGATGCATTATTAATGTTGTGCTTTCAACTTATTTATAGCTTTTTTCGTCTAATAAATAAAAAAAGTATGTGCCTAAAGAAAGAAAAAGAAAATACCTTCAATGTCCAAATAAATTAAATAAAGACATCTAATGAAAGCAAATTTCGAGGTACAAGACAACACCACATCATTCAAAAATTCTATTCTATTAAATTTAATAAAATATCGAAATCATGATAGAGTCAAAAAACTTAGATGAATTATAACAGAATAAATACAGACGTTATTTAGTGTCACCTTTACTCAAATGACCATAAAATTATATAATAATGGAATTATATTCAAATACTATCCTAAAAAATAAATAAAAACGACTTGATACATGATCTAAATCCTTCGTCAGTAGTATATAATACTGCAATTATGGAAACTCAACTGTAATTCTATATAATTCAGGAAGTTAAATATCTCAATTACTTACAAATATATAGAATTTCTAAAAATATATTTGGTTCTCTACAATATAATCAAAAAAGTAAAAATGGAATAGTAGCTTCTATTTTGTCTTGGTTCTCTTTTTGGTGAAATTTTAATCGTAGCTGACACGTCGATTTTTTTTCTTTCTTCGAAATAGTTTTCCGAACATTTATTCTTAGTTGACAAAAAAAGAAATTCTTCAATTAAGGCATAGCCAACAAATCAAATTCACATAAAGCATTAATCGATTCTTCATCTAACTCAAAAATTTCCATAAGAATAAAAAGTAAATTAAAATAGACATATAGAATTGAACATAAATCGATTTATTCATATGTGACATAATAGTCATCAAAAAAAAAAAAAAGACAAGTCTACTATCGACTTCACAGATTTTTTTATTATACATAATAAATTTTATTTTAATCTACAATTGAGACAAATAAATTAAATTAAAATAAAATAAATAATAAAATTACTTACATATTAACAAAATTAGATGTATAATTCCATTGAATAAAGCCAATCACTCATATACTTTTTTGAATTATTTATGCTCCATTAAAATAATATAGGCTACACACAAGTATTGTTCATTACGCCTAAAAAAACCTGATGAACAAACCAATGAACCTAGAAAAAAACAGACTTTTAAATAATAGTATTAATCGAATATTTGTAATTTCCTTACCTAAAAACCTTAATGCTCAATTGATTTCAACAATACAAAAAAAAAAAGAAAACAATAAAAAGCTAATAGTCATCGTCATATTTTTGTTAAATAATTAAAAACAAATATGATTATTCATATTCGAAATAATTTCGTTCAATTCATTGACTGTAATTCATCAATAGATAAATATTTGTTTGAATGCATGTCTTATTTTTTGGTTAAAACAAAGAAGAAAAGAAGAGAACCAATAGGTTAAAAAGACAGGATGAAACACCACTCTCATCTAACACGAATGAGATCGTGAATCATCAAATACTGCACATAAAAAATAAGAAGATCGAAGGGTACTTGTCATCCAAACAACAAGAATGAGAAAAAACAAACCATAGTCACATCACAAAAAAAAAGATAGATAAAACGTACATCACATATACATATAATATATATATATACACATATAAAAAGACATAGACTTACATCGGAATGATATCCAAATAGGAAAAGTGAAAAACAAAAATTTTATCGGTATTTTTACTTTTCTCAGAACAGACAACATAATAATAATAATGACTACAGAAAACTTCTTTTTTTTTTTTTGGTTTACACAAGACGAACAGACGACATAGAAAAATGAATACACAAGGGAAACATCGAATGGAAATAATATTTATTTATTCGTTTATTGTTTTCAATTTTTAGATCTTTATTTTAACATTGACATTGATTTCCTTTAGCTTGTGAATCATTAGCTGTAAGTCTTGTAGTTCCTTTATTATATCCACCTCCTGAACTTCCGTATGCATTAGTTCCTTGACCGGTACCACTTGTATCTTCTGGTGTATCGGACATTTTTTCCAATATAATATCAACCAATCTAGAAAAAACACAGAATTTTTCAATATGAAACTAATATTCTTTTCGTTTGTTTTTATTTTTACCTCTCGAAAACAACTTTGACATTTACATTTTCTTTTGCCGAAGTTTCGAAAAATTCCAAACCTAAAGAGAAAAAAACCAATAGTACAATTATAACAATCATAAAAACAAAAGAGTAATAATAAGCAAAGAGCCATGTTTTTCTCAAATATAAGTACCGAGGTCACTGGCAAGTTTTTCTCCTTTTGCCGTCTGAACAACTCTTTCATCTGCCATGTCACATTTATTTCCAACAAGTATCACCGGGCTTTTCTCCCATGAATGTGTCTTTATCTGTAAAACCCTTTAAAACACAACACAATACAAAACATGCAATATCGCCCGAACAAACAGAAAATAAACAACTATAAAGCGTACATCCAACATATACATATATATATCTATATATTTATTAGAACTTTACCCAATTGATCAGCAAGTCGTTGACCACGTTCTTGTGTAACAGCACGATCATGTTCTAAATCGCATTTATTACCAACTAAAACAACTTGAGCATTATCCCATGAATACATTTTTATTTGTGTACACCTGAAAATAATAGGTCTTTTTTTCTTTGGATGTACGCTTTTTTTTTTTACATAATTTCTTTTTTTGTCTAAATAAGACAAAATAATTGTTGACTTTTTCTTTTTTATACGTACCAATCTTGGACAGCATTAAATGATTCTTCATTAGTGATGTCATACATTAAAATAAAACCCATGGCACCACGATAATAAGCAGCTATTAAAAAAAAGAAAAAGAAAGAATATATTTATTTTGTTTTTTTTTTCGATTAAATCTCAAGAGACTGATTGAAAACTCTTTTAAAATATTTGAATAATCTCGTGAGAATTTAAAAAAAAAATAAAAAAATAAAAAATAAAACTTCATTAATCTTATTTACTTGTAATTGTACGATAACGTTCTTGTCCAGCTGTATCCCATATTTGTAATTTAACACGTTTATCATGACGAAATACTGTTTTAACCTTAAAATCAATACCGACTGTACTAACAAATGCTGATGTAAATGAATCGTCTGCATATCGAAAAAGCTAAAAGAAATATATAGAAAGATTTATTTTTTTCTTTTTTTGCAAATATAATTATTAATAATAATATAAATAAATCTAACATACAAAAGATGTTTTTCCTACGGATGAATTTCCAATAATAAGTAATTTGAACATATAATCAAAATTCTGATCAGCTGCATCTTTTGCTGCTCCACTAGTACTGTTCTGTGTCATCTAGAAAATAAGAAATATTCTATATTTATTTCATAATGTAGAAATAATAATATTAGATAAGAAAATTCAAGGACAATCAATAGAGCTCAGACAAGATGATGATTGTTAGATATGATGACGTCGCTACATATGCATGTCGTTTTTTTTCTGTGTTTTCTTTTTTTTCTATTACAAATTTGATTGGATGCGGTTTTGACTCCTCGAGTTATAAGATGCTAATGCATTTTGACGACTTAACTGTATTTTTCTTTGCACAAAAATATTTGAATTACTTAAGGATTAGAAATTGAAATAATATAAGAAAAAAAAAGAGTATTAACAATTATGAAAACAAACATTGATTATGACATCTGTATTAATTAGAAGACAAAACACGAAAAGCAATTTTTCTTACTCGTTAAATATATCAAATGATTGTTGTAAAAGAAAGAAAAACGACTTGAATAAATATATGAAATCTATAATTCAAGTGTGTACACATTTGCCTTCTAGATGTTTGTACACTATCAATAAAATAAAAATGTTTCATCATAGTTGAGAAATCCAATGATAGAGTAGAATATATTTATGGGAGGAGACAAAGCAATTTACTGCCTTAGTGCTTTTTCTATGGTGGTGTTGCAGCTGGTGTCAAGAGATGCTTATATTAGTGATGATGATGATGATGATGTCTGTGATAATATGTCATCAATTCTTCGAGCATAAAACTCATTTTACTCTGTTGATTTCGATCTAAACAATTCATAATATTCTTATCGATACCTTTCAACGCAACAAACTAAACACATAACTGTGTCATTAAAAGTGACAGGATAATTAAATGCACCTATTATACAACGAATAAATGCTTGACATAAAGAATAATGCAAAAAAAAACCAGAAAAGTGTCACATATGTTTAGAATACTACTTTCTAATGAAATCATCAATGAAATATGACAAAAATAATAAACATTGATTTTTCAATGGATAGATTTCTTTTTCTTTTCAATTTTTATTCGGCATTCACTCAAAAAAAAAAATTCTATCTGTACACACGCATAGAAGAACAAAAACAAAACAAAAAACGACAAGCAGATTCACAAGCAGCAAAGACAAAAAAAAACACATCAGTTTTGTATACAAATAACAAAAGCAAAATGTTTGATCAGACGAATCGATTAACAATGTATCTGAATATTTCCTAATATATAAATGATAACAGAAGATAAGATATTAAAAACACACATAATAACAATGACAAAAAAAAACAAGAAAAACAAAGAAGAACACAAGCTTTTATAATTCGGTTGTGATTGGATGATATGATGGAATCACACCAACAGATGGTGATGATGAACTACGATTTGCAGTACGAGGATAAAGATGTGGTAATGGAACTGATAATGATGATGTTGTTGTTTGACAATTAGTTGGTGTTGTTTGAACAATGGTTGATGATGCATTACGAACATTTGATGTACTTAATGTACGTGTTACAATAACAGGAGCAGGAGAATTTAAAGAATCTATTTAAATATAAACGAATAGAATAAATATATAAATAATAAAATATAAATTTATACTTTGATTATTAGTTAAATTCGAATTTACTGTCGTTGATTCTGTGTAAAAGTAAGTCTCCTAAACAGAAAAAAAAAAAAAGAAAATTTCTTTTCATTTTATTTGTCATAAACTAAAGTTAAACTCATGCAATTTCTTTTTTTTAAATAAAGATTCTCACTTCATGCCACGACAAATATGAATTTACTTACGTTGTTTATTATCAGTAAAAACAATATTTTTTGTATTAGCAAAATAATCTTTACATGAAGAAATTTTTCCTTTTCTAGAAGTTTTTTTAGTTAAATATGATAGATTATCATAATTAGCATAACGATTTTCAGATTGTTTTTCTTTAGGATTATAATCTATATGTGCATAGATTAGATTTGAATCTGTTTTAGAATTTATACAATAATTTAATATATTATCATATGATGAATAGGATATTAAGTCAGATATAATAGGAAATTTTTCATGTAAAGATATTCTACTAGTTTGCTATTAGAAAAGAAAAGAAATTTTTTTTAGTTTTCTATTTCTTTATTTTTCATTGACAGAAAAGAATTTTCAATATTATAATACCTTGAGAACATATGGTGATTGACTATTTCCTAATGTATATCGATTAAGTGGACTGTTCACTTTGCCAGTAGGTGAAGAAATAGATGAATTAGTTGGTCTTGAATAAAAACAAAAATATTTAAAATTTATTATATATTGTATTTATTTACAAAGTAGATGTTTTTTGTGGTGACATTTGAATTAATAATGATTGATCATTGTTATCATGTGCTGATTCTATATATAAATATAACGTTTAAGAAATTTTTTTTTTCAATTGATAAATTTATTATTAGAATTATCAAACCTTTTGTTGTATTGATATTGTTATTATCATTTATCGAAGAAGTAATTGTATTTGATGATTTCATAAGGGTCAATGGCGCTGGTGATGGTGATGTTATTGGTTTATCATCAGATTTTGTTTGTCGAGGAGGAATTGGTGGCGGACGAGGAAGACCTGACGTATTTCTTTTCAAGTCATTGTCTTGAAAATAGAACAAAAAAAGAAGTTATGATTAAAAGATTCTTCTCAAAACATTTATCCGTACACTGATACTTTTCAATCAATTTTTTTTTGTGAAATGTACCCAGCTCGAAGATTCCGACCATCGGATCCTGCAGGAAAATTCACCGTATTCTGCGAGAAAACAGCGGAAGTCACCGGAACGGGGTGGCAGTATTCCGATCAGAAAATTTTTAGATTTTTTTCGGTGTCTTCCGGCCAACTTCCTCCCGTTTTCTGCAGGAAGTTGTCCGGAATTCATCGAAAAAAAAATCCGAAAATTTTTCAGCCGAAATACTGCCACCCTGTTCCGGCGACTTCCAGTGTTTTCCTGCCGGAAACTTTCCGTACTTCTCGACATGGATAATGAATGAAACAAAAATTTATTATTACTATGGCTAGTGGCGTTATCAGATGAAGGTTCAATCTATTAGAAAGCTTTGAGCTCGTTCTAGATACATTAGCAGAGGAGCTTCGCCCCACATGCAAAGTCTCTCTACATTTTTTTGTTTATTCCATTAATTATGATTCATTGAAGTTACTTTTTTCGAAAACAAAATTCATCTGAATTGGAAAACGAACATATAAGAAATATCACGATACAAATTTTCAATACTTTTACTTTACATAAGTCTATCGGATTGACTTTTTGATTCATAGAAAAAGTTTATTTAAAACTTGGTTTTTTTTAAGTATTATTGCCGCAAAGTTACGAAAGATCTGTTATCTGTTGTCAAATAAAAGAATTTCATGTGTTCCTTAAAAGAATAACAAGAATGAATCGATCAAACTTTATAAGTATTATTATAATGATGTGCATTAAGAAAATTATCAGAACAAGTTAATTTAAAAGTCAATAATTACAATATTTCCGATTTTTTTTTAGCATGAAACATTAGCTTTTGCAAATTTAGTTACGGATTCAGTATTTACACGATTTTAATTATACATCATAATCATCGGATACAATTTTTAGCATTTTAACTAATTAGTTCTGATAATTATCTTTATACATTTCAGTATAGTATTATTTGAAAAATTTGTTTTGACTTCTTTTTGATATTATCTGCGGTAATAACTGAAAATTATATATATAAATTATTCGTATGAACAAACAAAAAGATTTTCACATTAATCAAAGAATCAATCGAATTAATAAAATTAAAACACATATTTTAAATTTTGATCGAATTGTAACATATGACATGTAAAATATTCCTATTATGATTGTGTTAATATATTCTCACAACTTATAAATACTCAAGTATTATTGTGCATTGATGAAATTACAAAAAAAAACATGAAATCAAAGATTGTAAAACTTTAATAGATATTTATCATCTATATGAAATACATTTTCTTGATATATAAATATTTCAGAACAAGTGTATATTTGATTGAATTGCAAATCTTAGTTCATTCGTTGAATAATATCGAAAAAGTTTCTTTATGGCAAAATTACAATACACTCCTATAATATTTCTCTTTCATTAGTACTCTTCATATATTACAAATTAGAGATTACAAAAAAAAATTAAATATATTTCATTATTAATCTATTTTTTACCTTCCAGTACTGAATCATTGGTAGAAGCTTGAATAAGATTCTCAAGACGTTGAGTTGGTGATAGATTTAAATTTTTTTGTGATGATGAACGTTTATTAATTGTTATTGAATCTTGATTTTTTCTATAAATATTTTTAGGTGTTTTTTTTCTTTTTTATAGAAGAATATTAAATCAAATCTTACTCAGGTGATTTTTTTGATTCATCTAATTTTAATTCTTGTTCAAATTTTAATTTTTTTAAACGTTCATCTTCTTGTTCACGTAAAATTTCTTGTTCTTGAATTTTTTTTCTTATTGCATATGATGCACGACGTGAAAAACGTTGTGATGCTTTACGTTCAAAATTTATACTACGACGAGTTAAATTTCCTAATGTTGCTGCTTGACATTCAGTTCTTCCACTAATTTAAATATTAAGAGAAAAACAAAAGCAAAAAATATTAAATTTAAATCAAATATATTCTTTTACCTAAATCGAAATCTTGAACCAGTACGTGCAAAATTTGATTTAACACCTTGTTTAACTTTTGATGCTGATGTTGTACGAAAAAAAATATGATATTCCATTGCACATTTCCAAAAATGTTTACATTGTTTTTCATCATAACAACGAAATAAAAATACAAAATCACGTTGTAATGTTGGATCATTATCATCATCTTCAACAACAACTATTGTTAATTTATTACGATTAAAATCTATTCGTGTTACTTTTGACCTTCAAATAAGATTAAAAAAAAAACAAAAAGTGTTTTTTTTATTTTTAATTGAAAGAAATTTTCTTTTTACCAAACAAATAAACCAATTTTAATTTTATTTTCAAAAACAAGAATACCAGTTGGTGTTAAACCAAGTTTATATTCTAAACCATCTTTACCCATTACTGTATGTAAATCAACACCATACATTTCTAACCATCGTGCTTTATTTAAATATTGTATTTCACAATCAGCTGGTGTTAAACTTCTATTGTAGAAAACAAAAAAAAAACATTTTTCATTTTTTGAAAATTTCAAATATAATTTCATACTTGTATGTTGACCATTTTTGTATAACATGTTCTTCAAATTCTTCTGTTTGTTTATCATCAGATAAAAAACGAAATTCTGATATAGTTTCAACTGAATGTTCGTCACTTGTATAATCACCCAATTCAGCTAGAAAATAATAATAAAATGACACGTTCTCATTTGCATATATCAATGAATGAATTGTTCATTCATAATATGAAATCATCTATGTTTCATTTTATTTTACCTTGCATAGATAATGCAGCCAATTCAATATCTGGACCAGATGGACAATCTAATTTACCCGTTCGAATATCATCTTTAAGTTGTAATACAAATAAATATCTATACAAAAAAAAAAAAACGTTTAATTTTCTTTATTTTTTTTTTCTTCTCTTTTACTTACCTTGTTAATTCATCACGAAGATTTTGTGGATCGGATGTATAAAATTTAACACGAAATCGAAATGTATACGGTGGTCCAACTAGATAAAAACAAATAATTTTCTTTTTTTTTTTCTTTTTCTTGCTTACTCTTGCATTGTTTTTTTAACGATTTTGTCGGATCTAACCATTGCTAAAGAACAAATAAAATAATCATTAAATTCTCATTCAAATTATGATATTCAATACTCATACTTTAACATTATGTGTATCAGTAAATTGTAAACCAAAATAATCTGGTTCAACTAATTTTGTATGAGCAATAACTTTATCATAAAGACTTTTTCCAAGAGCTTTGCGCTAAAGGACAAAAAAAAACAGATCAAAATGATTGATGATGTGTTATGATTTACGTAACATTTCTGGTTGTCTCACTCTCTCTCTTAGAATACAAATATTCATCACATATTTAGGTCTTTTCTTTCTTTTTTGTTATTTGATATAACATAACATTCTCATGAAATCGATTTAATTATTTTTATTCAACATACATATAAAATATAAATGTTTAAAAAAAAAAACACATATTTAATGATGCCAAAAAGAAAAAAAAAGTATACACCCAGACAGAATTAATAAGGGCAGGTCATTGATAGACGAATGAAAAACAGCTGACATATCAATTATGCATGCATGTGGAAAAAAAAATGTGTCTGGACAGGTCAACTCTATCAATCATATACTTTTCGTGAGCTGATTTTTTTCTCTTTCTTCTTTGAATATAACTTACATCTACTTCAAAATTGACATCATCACCATCAAGAAATACAACAGTACAAACAAGACCATTCTTAATTGGTATTGATTGTTGATGTTGTTGTTGTTGTTTCTTCCCAGTTGAACAAATTTTTCCATTTGAATTTGTATAATGAAGATTTTCATCATTTAATGTTGTTGTTGAATTTTTTGTTTGACGACGACTGAAAAAACGTATAAATCGAGCCGCTGCCATAAATAATGTGCCATGTACAAAATCGAAATTGATATAAACACACACGCACCACACAAACACTAGAATAATAACAAATAGTAATAATCTAAAAATACAAAATAATAGAAATGGAAAATACAAGACAATTATGTGTTCATAGACAATGCTCAACGACGCGCGCAACTACATAGACCAACAACACATTGTTCATCGGTCAATCATACATAAAGAGAAGAACAGAAGAAAAAAAAAATAACGAGACGATTGTATGATCATTGTGATGGTAAAATTAAGAGAAAGAGAGAAAGAAGAAGAAAAAAAAAAAAAAAAAAACGGAAAAGGTGGGGACAGACAGATGCCAAGCCTAACGAGCCTCAACATATCTTATCAGAAAGAAGAAAAAAAAACCGAAGGCGCTCAATCGATGATAGAGAGGTTGAAATGTGTGATTGTTATTGCTATTCGTAGAGGTCAATTTATACAGATACGATATTATCTAGAAACGTATGGCTTCTTTGTATTTGATTAGCACGACAATCCTTTTCTATGTATGTCCTTGTTCAAAATAAACTTACGCTTATATATATTATATATATATATGTATATCGTTGTCGACGATTGAATACTAAAGATTATGTCATAGAAATACAAATACAACACACCCGTCTGTATTCTATTAAATGAGAGTATCTAACTGATTGCGCTAGGCAACCAGAAATCGATAGAGAAAGAGAACAAGATGCCCCTAACAAATATCGATCGATCAATAGATAGTGTTTACCTAATGAAGAATAGAGAAAAAAAAAGAAAGATAAAAAAAAAAAAACAAGTTGATTTTAAAAACTAAAAGATAATTGATAAATTTTATAGGATTTTCTTTTGAATGATTATAAAAGATAAATGTTTATGTTTTTCAAAAAAAGAATAAATCGAACCATGTAACAAATAAACATATGAACAACAAAGAGCATAAAGACAAAACACGAACGACTTCACATGTACGTGTGTGTTTGTATTTTTTTTTGTCATCATTTTTCTTAATGGTCATTCGAATGGTCAAATGGTCAATCAGTATCTAGCGACATCATTTTTACTTATAGTTTTTGTATTTCACAAGCATATATAAAAAAAATCAAGATAATTCTTTTTCTTTCTTTGAATAAGACAAACATATTCATTTAGGTGGTTTTTGTATTTATTTTTATGTATATGATCATTCTCGTAATCAAGATGTGTTTTTACAAACAGAAAGAAAAATACATGGTTAGAAAAGTGTTTAGATAGCTACATAATAGAATGATAGATACAAGAGTTTATTTTGTCGCTGGAATTAGATATCTGTTTAAGCTTTTGGATGATTGAGATAATTTTTATAATCATCTGATGTTGTAACGTATTCAACAAATTTTTCTTGTGGAACACTAAAACAATAGAAATATAATTAATTGATTATATAAATGAATAAAAAAAAAACACCATACCGGCCACTACCATCATCAAGTTTAGTCCAATGTTGTTCCCATGTTGTTGTTACTGGTGCTGTCGAACCAGGTGGTACAGTTGTTTTTGATGTTGTTTTTGTTGTATCTTCATAACTAAAAAGAAAAAAAAAAGAATTCTTTCAAGAAATGAATTGATTATGAAAGACATTTACGTATAATATCGATTGAGATTGTCCAATACATGTTGACCTTGTTCACGTGTAACATAACCTAAAAAACACGTGAACAAATAGATAATAAAAAATAGAAGAAATTTTACTTACCTGGTGTTGTACTAGTTTGATCTAATATAAAGTTCAATCGATCACGAGGTGTAATCGCTGTATTTGCTTGATTTTGACTTATCAATAAATATGCATTGACAAAATCTAATTTAAATATGAATAAAGAAATGTAATCGAAATCTTGTTTTATTCTAATTACCTTCAAAGCTTAATTTGCCTAAAATGAAAAATCGAATACATTATAATAAACTATTAAAGATTATCTTTTTTTTTTGTTTGTACCTGATCCATCAGCATTGAAAGCTTTGAAAACACGATCGGAAATTTTTTCTAAATCATGGTCACTAATAACAGCTGGAATACTTGTACCAGTTTGTCCACTTACATACAATTCTTTATATAAACGACGAAATTCTTTTTTATCCATACGATTATCTTTGCCTGTTGTTGTAATAAATTCTTGATAAAGTCGTTCAACTGTAGCTCGTGGAATACCTATATAAATTTAATTGTTAGATAAAGAATAATAATTATAATTATAATAAAAGAAAATGATTATTTACCAGTAACATTGCTGAATCGATCTAAATCCCATTGAGTAAACGTTTGTTTTGAATGTGATTTACCCATTTTAATAAATTCGAATAGAAAATAAGTTTTTAAAATGCAATGAAGAAAATTGTGAAATGTATCCTTTTCAATGTAAAACAGCCGCTTTTATAGTTCTTACAAAGGGTGAATGAGGACGATTTTCTTTTACTTATTCTTCTTCTTCTTTATTCTCGAAAGCCTTGATTACATTTCTACTGAGAGAGAACAGTAAAAAGAGAGAGAAAGACGATGTCAAACGAAGAATGAGTGCAGTGACAATTGACTTTGAAATCATCTCTGATGACCTCTGGTCGTATTCACCATATATATCTTATAGAAGAAAAAAAGATATCTATACTTTTCAGTTCGATCTAGGTTTCGAAAACGACTAGAAATCATAAACAATATCATTCGTTGTCAGATGATTGTGGTTAACAAAAAAAATATATGAATTCTCTATTTCAAGTACATTGCGTGTCGACTACTCGTGAATCACGTGTCACGTTTTGATATGTGAGTAACAGAATTAAACTGTTAGATTTTACTGAAAAACTATCAAATGAAATATGAATTAGCGCAGATGCAATTTTTTCACAGAAAAATTGCTTAACTTAATTAATTTTCGTCTTTTTCAACATATTTATTGATTTTTTAATTTAAGAAAACATATTCTTAAAATATCTTCAAAAGGGAAAAATAAATATTCATCGAGCTTAACAAGGATTTTGATTGACTTGTGAATACAAACAAAAAAAAAATAAATCTTTCGTAAACATTCAACATAGATAAAATTATTGAAAAATATCTAAGATATTTTATTACAATTAAACACAAGGTCAATCTAGTAACAATGAATTTTAAAACAAGAAATATGATTAATCATTAATTTAAGAAACATTGTAGAAAAGTTTTTTAAGTATAACAATACCACTGAGTCATACTTTTACCCAATGCACTTTCGGTTTTTTTTTTCTATTATTATTTTTCTTTTTTTATCTGCATTACATACTCAGAGCACTTTTTTGCTCCCATTCTATTCAAGAGAAATAAAAAATATTTGGTCGTAATTAGATGCTTGCTAATGAAAGTTAGATGATATACTATTCGGAGGCTCAATCGAAAGAAAACTATTTATGGATTAAAAGTAAAAGAAAGAGAAAATGGAATATGATATTGTGTTATGAAAAAAGAATTCGAGACAAATAGATGACAAATTTTGTGCATTCGTCATCTAAATGCTAGAATTTGATCATTGTATACAGAGCTTAAGCAATAGCAAATATTCTGTTATGTATCTTGAATAAATTTCTTCACGCTGCTAGTATTCTAACTGTTCAAGATAAACATAGCTGAAAATCTATGGGTTAAGTTTGAAAAAGATGAACAGTCTATAATTTGACAAGAGATGTATATCGATATTTGAGATATACTTTCTAAAGATTAAAAATGTATAATACTTGCTCAATATCAAAAGATAACTAATATGAAGTATGCTATAAATCATTATCTCTGTACAGACTTAAGTGTGAAGGCATACTCACAAACATCATAAAACTTAAAGTTTATGCATAATTAAGTACCACAGTTGATTGCGTCAAATAGAATTCAATAAAATTAAAAAAAGTTGATGTGAACTTCATATTTAGAAACAGAAAGATTCTTAAGAAACAAAAACAAGTAATACAGTAAAACGTATACAATCGTTTGCATGCTGTGTAATTTGATTTTAGTGCATTTTCTTTTATTTTCACATGCTAATCTTTGTATGGAAATAATTCAGAGAAGTTATGAGAGAAAATTTTTCATTTCTTTTTATACCGAGAAGAATAATTTGTAAAGTTTGTGTCAGATCTTAAGACGTACAAGAATAATTATTTTTATCTTAATTCTTTCTTTTTTCATGTCTCTCTTATTACATTCTTCATCAACATTGCCGTCTATGTATCAATAACTTAAGAGAAGTGTGATCGATACAACGTAAATTTGAAATTTCGAGCTTAATCTGTTCAAGATATGTTTTACTCAAAACTTTACGATCAATGTTTTATAACAAGTCCACTGATGATTTTTAATATTTTAAGACCCATACAGACATTTTACTGGTAATTCAACAACCGTTACTTAGCTTCAGGGTTTGATGATTGTCTTGAATTTTATATCAAGCTTTGACAAATCACTGAATTGTTACTATTAAGGTTTAGTTTTTCTTTTTATACTAAATTGACTTCAAAATAAGTGATTGAGCTGTAGATATTACTGGTCTAGTCCTAGATTCCAAAGATATATTTGAACTTTATAAAACTTGATCGAAAACTCCAAAATCTATAATTAATTCATTGAAATCTTCAGAATTTTCACCAATCACCTGTGGATGTGTATTGCTTCATTCGAAAACACATCGATCTAGTTTTATCAAATTCAGCCATTTTCTCAAAGCAGACCTTTTCTAACTGAAAAAAAAACCATCGAATATAACATGAATCATGTGATTGTTATTCTTAATTGATTTATAAAAAAAAAAAATTATGCTTATTTTATTACTCGAACAGGCAATAAAATTTACTATGGAACATTGATGTGAAAATCGAATTAAAGTTTTATAGGTCCAGTACTGAATAAAGAGACTATTTAACTTATCATCTTCATTTTTAATTTTTACTGATTTTGATTTCATCTGACAGCGGCAGCAGTCTAAATTCAACAA